GAGTAGCTTTATATTTTGAATTCTGTAAAATAATAAGTAATCAAAGCTTTAAACTATGTGGTATAGACAGATTATTTAATGTCATTGTGCAAAGAAACTATTTTCTAGTGATTCGTCATAGCTGAATATGGAAGATAAAAGAATAAAAAAGGACAAGAGAGCTGCAACGAGGTTAAACTGCTAAACTGTTAAAAGAACTGTTTCCTGTTGAACTTTCCTCTGCAGTTCTGGTGCTAATTGGTGCAAAAGTTGGGACTCTCCCACCAGGTCAAAGTGTCAAACCACATCAAATCAAAGAGGAACAAAACTGATACTAGGGAAATTTTCCAGGTTACAGTTTTACACAGTAAAATTGTAACTTTAACACAGTAAAGTTTTCAAGTAAAACAAGTTAGTCCTGTCACACACTCATACTGACGGATGCCTCTTTCCCCACGTCTACTCACACACGTACAGATCATTTAAAAATAATTTTAAATGAATTTTGACATCAGTGCCAGATGACTATTTCTACTATTTCATTATTATTGCTTATTATTGATTTGTAAATAATTGGACATGACTAAGCTGAGCTTATTATATTACAGTACAGTACGGGATATTTCTAAATCATCACACAGCTCATTCTCGTTCTCTTGACAGTAAAATCTTTAAACATACTCGAAATGCTTTTTGGCGTTAAGTTGAAAGAAAGGCAAATGTCAAATGTAAAAGTGAGGTCAGAGGTCAAATGTAGTGTAATATTTGGATGCAATGTGGAATTAGAATCCCCATGTAACAGTATCATTTCCTAAATGTAGCTAACACACACAAAGACAGCTGAATTTTAAGCACTGCTTTAAAAATAATAGACATTTTATGAAAAATTTGACTCTACTTGACTTCAAAGAAGAGGTCATATGTCCAAAGTAAAGTGATATTTAAAATCCTTGTATATTACTCACTTTATGCCTATATATTATCAATACAAATAATAGCAGTTAGAACTTTTTTAAAAATAGATATTTTTAGTATTATTATTACTCTGACGCACAGATGAATCAAGTACTTTCTATATGTTGACAACAACACTTGTAAGAATCATAGTTTTTAAGTTATAAGGCTTTTTGTCCATTTTCCACCAATAAATCATTCAGTCGACCTTGAAGACCGCAGTGGGTGTAAGCCAGATTTTAATGGACTGCTGACATGACCCCACTCTACATCGCCTGCAGAGTTTGATCAAAATTCATGCAAAATCTTTCAAGATATACAGATGTGACATGCACACGAGCACTACCAAAAACATAACCTCCTTGATGGAGGGTCAGATAGATAGAACAGAGGTGTCAAAGATGTGGCTGAGGAGCCAGAACCGGCTCACCAATGCACTGCTCCTCACAGTGTGATAACTGCAATGAAGTAATAGGTATACGTTTTTTCAGAAAAATCTATTTCTGTTTCTGGTGTGGTGACACTAGGTTTACTCCACAGGAGAAAAACTGTCTGGCCATGAGGAGATGTAATGTGTAACACACAACTGTGAGGGTTTATGTATGTCCTCTGTAATCTGTAAGACTTGATTTAATGTGGAAAACTGACATAGACTGTTGAAATTGTTGAAATTGCATAAGGTCTTGATTTATCCTGTATTTCTTTACAGTTTATTAGGAAAATGTAAAATTTATTGACACATGCAAACATACAACGAAATACAAGGCAAAAACTAAGTTTATAATTCAAACAGGTGTGTGTCTATGAAGGTATGGTTTTAGTGTGTTTGGGATTTTTATGCTGAAAAACGAAGCTCTTTGGGAATCGCCTTCTTAGTACAGAAATAGTATTTTATGTCTTTGGCATTTTTCGTTTGTTCACATAAAAAAAGAGGACACATGGTATCATGTGAAGCTAATACACATGATATGTTTTTTCCAATAGGCTTCTAGTAGCGAAGTGCCTAAAGATGGAGTTTAAAATGGGCTCTTTGCTAAGTCTAATCATATTCAAATCAATTTTATTCATACAGCGCCAACTCACAACAACAGTCGCCTCAAGGCGCTTTATATTGTACAGTAGATCGTACAATAATACATACAGAGAAAAGCCCAACAATCATATGACCCCCTATGAGCAGCACTTTGGCGACAGTGGGAAGGAAAAACTCCCTTTTAACAGGAAGAAACCTCCGGCAGAACCAGGCTCAGGGAGGGGCGGGGCCATCT